TGAGGATGAAGATTTGTGTCAAAATATAGTTACAAGCAGTACATTATGGTTACCGATGTGTGGACATAACACACTGTTGTCAGCTACAATTGATGGATCAATTCAAGGATGGCAATATATTTCATAAAAAAAAAAAAAAATTAAAATAATAATTACATTCTAATGTTGTAAAAAAAGTCTGATATAATTAACTATTCTATTAACAATTAGTAAATTTAAAATATAATTAAATTATATTAGGTATTAATTATTTTTTGAATTGAATTGTTGCCAAACACAACAAGTATTATCTTTAGAAGCCGTCAATATTGTATCACCTAGGTAGTTCATTAAGACCGAAAATACGGGAGCAGTATGTCCTTTTAAATCTTGCAAACATTCTCCAGTTTCTGTGTCCCAAAACTTAGAACTATGATCTTGTGATGCAGTGAGCAGATGATGACCAGCAGGTTCCCAAAAAATCTGAGATCACAAATTATTGTTTTTATTAAATTTAGATTTTTCAGATAAATTGAATAGATACTTTTGTAACTTCTGCTGTGTGTTCCATCATTGCAGAAATCAAGTCGCCACTGCTTACATCCCAGATGCAAGCACTACAATCGCTGCTCGCCGTAGCCACTCGACGACCAACTGAATCGAAACAAATGTCTAGCACCTATATAACAATTAAACTTAACAATTGTTGGTTCTATGAAACTAGTAAACAATATTGAATATTTCTYTACCTCGTCTGTATGACCAGCAATAGTGTGACGACAGCTGTCTGTCCTCCTCACATCCCACAACTTGGCTGTACCATCCAATGAACTGCTGGCGATTGCTCTGTAACTGAAGTCGTAGTGACAGGCAGTCAATTCAGCAGTGTGGCCATATAATGTTGCTGTACATCTATACATAATTAGATAAAATTATCTATATTACAAAGCTTTGGATCCAGATAAATATAAGGGCCGCGCCACACTAGAGCGGTTTTGACGCRCCAGCGCCGCTCGTCAAAAACGCGAGATGAAAACGCATWCCATGTAAACCRATTACAATTTTTAGGATTAACTAACAAAAACTCTYATAAATGTATAGTCCGYTTAAAGGAATCCATTTTCAATACTGTAGATTAAGTTTAATGTGTAATAATGATTAATATATTATAAATATTTTGTATAATCTATAGGGCGTCACGCGTTTGGGCGAATTTTTAAAAATTGCAATGTGTTTGGRCAATTCAGCATAATGCGTTTGKGCGAGTGATTTTAAAACATTGTAATGCGTTTGGGCGACC